GGCGGCGGCGACAGAGAGAGAGAGAGAGTGATTAAGTACCTCGAGAATGTCTCCAACATTGACAACAAGGGCATGTGGGAGGAAAGTCAATGGAAGCCAAGCCCCGTCCTTGACAATCTTGAGGCCGTCAACCCCGTTGACTTGGTTGAGGATGGTGATGCCGGAGGCGTCGGAGTGAGGCGTGATTCCGACGACTAGCTCCGGCCGCGGGCACGGCGGATAGTAGGTTATTCTCACCGACTGCATCCCGTCGTCCATCATCTCCTCAACCTTCTTTGCCTCCGTCTTAAGCGCCTTCGCCATCAACACCATCAGCTTCATCGCCAGTTTTTGCACTTCTTCTAGATACACCTCCAAACTTTCTCTGCGTGATCATATGATTAAGGAGTCAACACCCAATTCTGATTCTAAGTTGATCAACTTAGAAGAGTTGTTACATGTTGGTGGGTTACATGAAGAAGAAGTCATAAATCAACTGGACCCAATAATTCGAGTTGTTTGAAAGCTCTATATATAATACTTAAATATTTGTTGCTCGTTTAAATAAAAAGCCGACTCATAGACTTGAAACATGCACAACTTTTCTCATACCATGTGATTTAAGACAACACTTAATATTGAGGTTCGTGCATATTTAAACATGTGACCTCAAAGACAAATCAGCTCTGATATCATGTCATAAATCAGCCGTTCCCAATAACTCACGTCGTTGGGAGATGTCCATGTATGTTACTTAACCACTTGTTTATAAAAACAAATTAAATCGTTTTTGGAGATGGATCGAGTCGTCTGACCTGAACGATGAAGGGAGCTGTGGGAGGAGGTGAGGCTTTCTTCTGTGGATAGGGTTGGTGTTCATGTAGAACCTGTCCCCCCATTCCAGTCTTCCTTTCAACCTCCCGGTTCCACCGTACCCTTCGTAGTCCCCCGGCTGTTCTTTGTACCTCAACTTCTCCTCCACGGGGAGCTTGTAGAACGCTTCAACCTCGTCTCTCAGCTTCTCCATCACAGACTTGTCCACTCCATGATTCACCAACTGCACGTAGATATGTCGACGTATTAGTATGTGGTATAAAATATGAGATCAACTGATTGTTGGTATGATATCAGAGCCTTCAACAACCACCAGAGAGGTTAATTGGGCCAAGGAGCATAGCTACCTGAAAGATGCCCCATTCCTGGCAATAAGAGTGAAGCTTGGCCAGTTCCAAACTTGATGTCTCATGATCGGCAGTCAACAGTTGGAGGTCAAGAATGGGAGGCTCGACGTAGGGCTGGTGGAGGGTTTCTTCTGGAATCTCTTGGTCGAAGCCCACAAAAGGCGTTGGGATTGTGGTGAGCGGCCGTTTCGCTAGCTCCTGAACGCTTACAACGGAAGGCAGCTGATGATGATGATCACCATGAAAATCTGTTGCCAGAAATGACGACGAAGACGCCATTGTTGCTCGCAGCTATGAGGGGAGAGCTAGCGTAACCCTTTCTTTTGTTTATTGCCCGTCACCAAGTGGGAAATATGATATGGTTATATAGCCTGCAAGCTTTGCTAATAATGGAGAGGGGATGGGCCAGTTTTTATAATTAGAAATTAATTGGGGGGTTAATATAATGCGTCTTCATGAGGGAGTAGAGACGGCATCAATCGGGTTGGTTGGGCCGTCGGGCAAGTTTTATGTAAGCTGATTGATCACTCCCAACCTTTTCTTTATTTGTTAAAATTATGGTATAGGTGAATGAGAATGACTAAGGACAGTAACATGTATTTTGATTATAGCTAGGTTAGAATGACAATGTCACGGGCAGCCGGGGCAGGTGTAGTTTCGTTACCCATGCTAGTTTTGGGTAATTAATTCTGATTGTACCCATAGGGGTATGAGTTAGAGTAGGCTTATATTCACATCCTCAGATTAAAATATTTGCAATATATATGAAAATACAACGGAAATTTTTTGAAATAAAATGGAAGAAAATTACGTTACCAATAAATTCTAATTATTACAAAAGAATGGTATATATATTTAGAAATCTCCCAACAACTCGAGTTATTGAGATTAATTGATTCTTCACATGATCTCAAAATCATGTTGGTTATGATTGCTCGAGTTGTTGGGAAACATCTAAAATAAACTTTATACAATTCCTACACAATTATTTTGAGAGATGAAAGTTCACACACTAAATTATAACTTTGTCTATTTATAATTTAGTCATAATAGCACATATGCGAGCACATATTAGCAAAAATTCAGGTAGAACGAGTCAAAAATGAAATTCAATAGGGACTAGAACAAAGCAAAACTGAAACTCACACCCTACACCATGTAATTAATGCCCATGAAACACGAGTTGGAGCAAATCAAATCATGCTGATCAGGTCAAACTAGCTCATGGTTGATGGACAACTATTCACGTTAGTTGTGGCGTTTTATTAAAAAAAAAAAAAAACAAATCTCAAACTGTCTGAATTGACAACGATTATAAAGGTATTGATTGACGCCATTAGTAAACTAAAAAGAAGGTACACATTTATCCCTATATTTATACATGATGATGATGATGCATGCAGCAGCCGGCCTGGCATGGATCCTAAAAATATAACATTTCGTGTTTATCGAGTATTGGTCTTCTCTTCCATCAAAATAAAAAAAGAGGGTCTTCACCATATTGTTTGACCAGTTAATTGTATGGAGCTTTTAAAAATAAATAAAAAAATGCACTAGTTTTCATACAAAAAATAAAAAGTTGGACTAGTAGATCCAAATTATTAGTTCGTGAAGAAATCAAAATAGCATACATATAAGTAGATATTATTCGAAATTGAAATAAAAGGGATTAAGTGCAGGAAGATGTAAGGAATAAGTGTTAGTATGTTATAATATTGTAGGTAACGAAATTTCACTGTGATTAATATCATATTTGTGACAGTAAGAACTGAGGCTATATATATTTTAAAAATGGTACTAATTAATTGCTTGTCAATTTGCACTATTTAAAAAAGGCACTAATTGATTTAGCATTCGCTTTTTCTTCTTCTTCTTCTTAAGTTTGCTTATCATTGCTAATAGTTATACAAACACATCTACAACTAACAATTGTCAGATACGAAGAGGCCACCAAGCTGGGCCCGGAAAGCCGGTTTTCAAACCAGTTATTCCTTTGTTCGGTGCGGCTTCAGTTTCTTGTCTATTAATTTCTCTCTTGTGTTTGTCATCTATCTATCTACATTCACCCGTCAATCAACAAAATAGATAATGGAGCTGTAAGAATTTACTCCATTTTAAAAAAATACTAGAACAATGTGATTGTAGGGGGAGTAAAATAGATTTTTGTGCAAATCAGGTTATTCCCGGCACGTGCAATAATTGACAAATTATATAAACTAATAAGCCAAAGCTAAAATGATTTAATCGACCGATGCTGACGAAAATTACTCAATTATAATATCATCATTGTGCATGATAAGCTCATCCATCATTTCAAGAATCGAGCGAGAGGAGAAGCATGAGATACGATGTTAAAACTAGATATGAAGAAAATCTATGACCTGATTGAGTGAAGTTGTTTAGATGACATCCTCGAGGCTATGGTTTCAATAGTAGATGGAGGGCCTCGATCCAAGAATGTATTCATTTTGTAAAGTTCTCAAATATATTCAATGGACAGCAAACCAAACCTTTCAAACCATCATGGGAGATTCGCCAAGGGGGATCAACTGACCCCAACCCTCTTTGTCCTCCTTACAAACTCTCTCTCCTTTCCTTATTCAAAAAGGGGTTGAACAAGGCTCATTTACTGAAACTAAGCTCAATAGTCCATCCTCATTGTTCTAAGATTACTCATGTTACAACACCATTTATCTTTGACAAAGCATCCGCTCTTTCTATTTTTAAACATCGTTACAAACTATGAAAGAATCATCGGGCAGGAAATGAACGCTCAAAAATAGGTTGTAACTTTTAGTAAGAATACTTCAGATGACCTCCGCAACATTATCATGAACACCCTCAACATGAAAGAGCTTGATAGACTAGGAAAGCACTTAGGCATCCCTTTTGAATGGGGATGATCTAAAAAAGAAGCCTTCTCCTTCCTCCTAAACCACATGAAAATTTAGGTCAAACATGGAAAAGCCTAGCACTCTCCATGAGGGGAAAGAAATGCTACTCTAGGCAATACTACAAGCCATACCTACCCTATGTAATGTTGTGTTTTCTTCTGCCTAAAGTAACGAAAAAACGCATGAACTATCTCCTTGTTGCCTTTTTTTTTTTTTTTTTTTGGGTAGGGTCAAGAGTTAAGACATAAAACATATCCATTGGTGTAAAGGATCCGTCCTTACGGCTCCGAAGCAAGGAGGACTAGCTAGTTTTCAAATATTTTCATACATTTAACATAGAAATTCTTGCTAAACAATGTTGGGGAACCCTTAACGAGGAAGGGAGCATGTGGGTAAAACACTAAAACTTCTAACAGGCCTCTACTTTCATAATTTAGATTTTTTAACTTAGAGCATCAGTTTATAAGCATACTATATTTGTTATTTATTTTTTATGGGCAAAATTAAGTGATCAGTTTATTTGAGCCCATAACTACTCAAACCCAATGTGAGTCTAATGGGTGAAAACCCACATATATGTCCACCTATATTGTTATGGGAGCCATGGTGTGACTTGTATACAAGGGAGTTGAGGTTGTAGTCCCCATTACACCAAGTTCAACACACGCATATTCATCACATCAGAATGCGTGAGATTACCCGAAAGTAGTGGATGAGGGAGCTTGGTTGAGAAAGGATGCATAACCTCCCGGGTCGTGCACAAAGATCTAGGCATCATCCGGAGATTGATCGTCCAACCATTTCCGCATTTTGATTTAGACGTTCATCATGAATCCATGCATCTCCAACTAACCTTTGATAATCTAGCATTATTATGATCCATTGAATTGCTTGAATATTTTTTTTTTTATATTCTACAAAATATATTATCTTTTTTTTATCAGTCGTCTTTACAATACAGAAACTTGAGACCACACGATGTACATACTAGAGCAGTTATTATAAGATATATATATATATATACCAGCTGCTAGCTCAAGGCTGGCCAGCACCGCAGCATATAAGTATACGGCAGCTGGGGATAGTATTACGTATATGCATTACTTGATTATTCCCACACTCTATCATATAATTAATTAATACACACAAAACCAGCAATATTATATCTATATGCATGACGAAGATCAGAAAATCAATCGATCGGCGTCAATTATCAATCTTGAGAGCCTCCAAATTGGTCTTCCTGTCCAGGACACGGCCGAAGAAGTTGTTGAAGTATTGCTCCGTGGAGATGGTTTTGAATCTGCAGGGCGGGTTCTTCATCACGAGGCTAGCAGCGGGTCCGATCTCGGCCTCCAGCTTCGGGTTGACGAAGAAAGCCATTGAAATCCGCTCTTTGTCTGGATTCACGGTCACCCTGTGCTCCGCGCTCTCGTACAATCCGTTGCTAAAGACCTACACCACAAACAATTTGCATGCTTATTTGTTTATGCACCAAATTTTGGCAAGATCTGGTTTCTGCATGTTTTCAGACAGAATAAATTACGTACGTGGATTTGCATGGGTTTAAAACTTTGATGAATATGTTTTTTTCGTTGCTTAACGGCTATTAGTCTGTAGTCTATCACATATTATTCCAAACAAAATTCATAAAAAGAAAAGTTTCGAAACAAAATTCACATATTAAAAAAGGGTCATAACTATAAATATATCCTTTTTATAACGATTGCTACACATTTCGTATCTTAATTAATAAGAGTTAAAAAGGTTAGTTGCAGAGCTAGCACATAACAGGGTAGGTCCCATGATTCATCTTGGCTCGTGATTACAGCACCGAAAATAACAATATTTCTGCATAATACACAAATCTAACACCGCATTTTTACGATACTTGTTTATCAACAGATTGTAGAAAACTTTGTGACACATGTTAACCTGACATATTATGTAAATAAGTCTAGGTTTTATGTAAAATTGTGTCCCTAATTGTTTATATTCGGTTTACTAATTCATAATTTGATGTTGATTCTCCAGCAAAAATTAATTGGCAAATTATGAAAACATGTCAATATTTCTAAAATATTAGTTAAATAATTATATATTTTATTTTTACGTCGGACTCACTTTAATTGAAATCATGATTACGACACTGATGCAGATTAATTGTATTTGTAAGGCATGATGTGGACCTGTGAGGAAAACTGAACTACAACTATGGAATTTGAGCCATCGAAGTGATGAAGTTAGAGAGCCCGTCTTTGAATATTTTTCAGTATATAATTGGATAGTTTCAGTTAGGGCTGGCTATTTGGTCCGGGTTTTTTGGTTTTATCCGAAACCGGATCGTATAACTCTGACCGAGACCGGATAGTAAATAATCCAATCTAATCTTTGGGCTTAGATTTGAGGTAAAAAATCGTTTGGGACCGGATCGAAAATTGGATAAAGACCGGATAAGAGAGCTCAACACCCAAAACTTAAGGGTAATTTGCATAAACGGTCACAAACCTTTGCACTTAGTACAAAACTTAATCAACTTCTCACCCTTTCAGGCCTTAGGCCACTCAAATCCCCACAAGCTCAATATAAAATCAAGACCGAATTGGGACCGGACCGGATCAAGACCGGACTGTATCCAATCCAATATTTGGTCCTTATATTTTCAAAAAGACCGGACTGGACCGGATCAATTTGGGCCAATTTAACTGGACCGGACCAGATCAATGTGAAGTGCTAAATTCACATAAAATATCTGCAATGGATGATGATGGATCATTTCGCCATCCTTAATTACCAGACGGTTCCCAATCACGCAAAAGTCTCTTGCTAACCAAACCATGATCCGGATAATCGTATCCTCAACGAATCTCTAAAGAAATTGTGGAAATAGTCCTCTTTTTAGTTGAATAATAATGTGGAGATGCGTACTAAAGCAGGAAGACTCAACCTAAAAGCACACGTGACGAAATAGCATAAAAATAATTGGATAAGAATAAACTAACTGTCCAAGGGAGAGGGAGGAAATTAAGCCGACAAACCTCGAGGATGTCTCCAACAAGGACCACAAGAGCGTTGGGCAGGATGTTGACCGGAACCCAGCTGCCGTCTCTTGTCTTGGCCTGCAGACCTCCGACGCCGTTGACTTGACTGAGGATGGTGATGCAGGTGGCGTCGGAGTGTGGGGTGAATCCCAGCACCAGCTCCGGCTGCGGGCAAGGAGGGTAGTATATGATCGCCACCGACTGCAGGCCGTCGTCCATCTTCGCCGCCATCTCGTTTGCTTCCATCTCCAGTGCTTCTTCCATCGACCCGAGGAGCCCACTCGCCAGGGTTTTTAGGGTTTGGATGTATGTTTCCAGGTTATCTCTGTAGGAGAGAGAGAGAGATCGAGTAGACAAAGAAATGGTGTTTCTCTGTTAGTACTGAATTTAGACACACCATAACATATGCTTATTCTCTCACACAATCATATGCTAGAGATGCATTTCTGTGTTCATTCACGCAATCATATGCTTATTCACTCAATTTGGTGCTTATTCAAACACAGTTATTCATACAGTAATAATGTTTATTCACACATGTTTTTACTTATACACATGCACTATTATAGTATTTCAAAATTTTATTTTTTAAATTTACAAAATGGATGTCATTGGGTAGGTTATGATCCATGCATCTCATCTTTACAAAAAAAATTCAAAATACCAATTTAAATCTATAAATTATGATCAATATATACAAAATTTTAGGTGGAAAAAAAGAAAAATCCTGGGTTACATTAGTTATTTTTTTCCTCTTGGATAACAAACAGTATGAAACTTTTCTAATTATGAAACTACTTATCGAGTGTTTGGCTGGATTTTTTAAACGAATTTTCTGTGAAAATCAATATTAAAAGAACAATATTATCATGCCTTATTTAAATTTTTTCCCTTTAATTAACACTTTTTATAATTTACAAGTATTATCTAATATATAATAATTTTAACATACAATTTTTTATTAAACTTTCATACTTTATATTCAAATTATTTTTATTTATTTCATATAAATTTCTATATTACTTTTTAATAATTTATCAGACAAATACTTAACTGGTTTTATTGAAAATATGTCTCTAAGAAATTATTTTAGGACTTAATTTTTTAAAAGATACCAGATGGCCGAACTAACTCTTACTCTACTTAATCCAATATATTTTCTTAACTTATTTTAAGATCTGTTTTATGCCTTTCCCCCCCTTCTATTACTGTATATTTACTTCTCCTAACACCTTTTCTCTAGTATAAATAATTTTAATCATAATGTTCAAACATACAATTCATCCCTATAACTCAAGGTTAAAGCTAGTCAACCCATATTCATTAATAAAGCATTCAGGCATGTATAATAAAAAAACTACTCAACCCATGCACGAGTTTAAAATTTACAGGAGCTTTTTGAACTAGTTAATATTTAGATTTTTTAGATTTGTACACAAAGTTTGTCGACCAAACACTCCACTAATAACCAATTCATATAAATAATTTGAGTTGATGAATGAGATTTAAAAATTAATCTTTTACAATTTCCTTACACTATCTATCTTATTTCAACAATTTGAAAATAAGACTCTTCTATCACCACCGCCAAATTCTTTATGCCTACGAATGTAAAATATTACTTAGAAACACGTTAGTTTAAATCTAAATTCTTAGTAAACTATATGTTCTAGGTCACGTCTTTTAAAACACAGGATCAATACATATGCTTTTTTTTAGAAGGAACATTCAAATATAATTGGTTTATTAAAATTCACAAGACCAAACCATTTATGTTTATCCTGCTTAGGTTTTAGCTTTTAGGTATAATATATATTCACGATCTGTAATCCTCACGGTCCTATTCATACAAAAAAAAAAAAAAAAAATCTTCATTGGTAGTCTTTTGTGCTTAATAATGAATCTTTTATTTTTAGCAATAAATAATATCCCGTCAATTACTTCTACCCAAAGTCACAAGTAATTAACAAATGGAGAGGACCGATTATTAACATGTGCACAATTTCATAGCACACCATTCATTTTAAAATATGGCATGAGATTCAGATCTTATTTCAGATACATCCTTTCTATTATAATTATATTATTATTTTTATGTAGAAAAGAGAGTACTCAAAAAGGCAAATTAAAGAGTACTGATCAGAAGATAGATGTGTAAATATATATAATAATAATAGTAATTAATAAACCTTAAGGATGAAGGGAGCTGTGGTAAGAGATTTGGCCTTCTAAGATGGACAGGGTTGGTAGTGATATAGAGGCGATCTCCCCAATCCCTTATCCCGTTGGCTCTCACCCTGCCTCCGCCGTAACCTTCGCCGTCTCCGCCGTACTTCATTTTCTCTTCCAACGGCAGCTCGTAGAATTCCTCGATCTCGCCTCGCAGCTTCTCCATCACCTCAGGGCTCATCCCGTGGTTCACCACCTTACCATAATGAAAGCACATACTTATACAGAAGACTGAAAGGAGGGAAAGTAAGATACATGCAAACTGATGAACGAGTAAGACATAATAATATATTAATTAATTACCTGAAAGATGCCCCAGTTCTTGCAGGCGGAGTGCAACTTCTGGAGCTCCGTTTCTCCGCTCCCCGGTGAAGCCAACAGCGTATAGTCAACGGTGGGAATCTCCGCCGACGACGACGGCGTGGGAACAGAAAGTGCAATTCGTGTTTGTTGGAGGAAGTGGAGTGGGATTGATGAGAGTGGGGGCGCTGCTTTCACCAGCTCCTGGACGCTAGTTAATTTCATTGATGGTGAGTTGGCCATATATGGCTGAATCCAAGTGATTGTAATTAAAGCCTAATTAAGACGGGAGAGGGAGTGAGAGAAGTGGGTGTGATAAGTACCTGGCATGCACAGATAGAAGTAGAACTATATATAGCTGCGGTCGAAGAGGCTAGGTTAGCTAGACTGACATTTCTGGGTTGGTGACTGTCACGAGCTAGCTTTTTAACTAATCTCTAATAGGGATTATATTACACCTCTAGGATGTTTATCGTGAAGGCAATTAATTAACTTGATAGTTGAATACTTTTTCTAGGGCTACTTTGTTTACTATTGACGGTTCCGATATCCACCCTCACATACTTGTTACTGGATCATGGGCTTGCTAGTTGATTGCCCGTTCCATTTGCCAGTGTACTTTTGCTTAATGAGGAGATACTAAAATGTTAATTAAATTCTTTTTAATAATGTTAATTAAGGGTGATTTGGATGGATCCATAATATACCTGTGGCAGGTTTTATGAGTTTTCTAGTATGCTTCACGAAAATTGTGGTATGCTTTGCATCCATATAAAATCAGCAATCTAGCTCCAATAGATCGGCGTTGGTGCTACTCGTGTTGACAGCAGAGAAGAAGATTGGCGCCAAGTTAAAGCAGTTCAAATAAAGGGGTCAGTGTTAAGTTGAGTGGTGTCGTTTTGATTAATTACTAGATGGTCACTTAAGTCTGTCTTGTGTCTGTGTCTAGTCAAGTAGTGGTTAGTGGGTTAGTGAGTCAGAAACTTGGGGATTAAGGTTGTTAGGTTGTTAGCTGGGTTTAAGGGTCATGGGGCAAGATCATGAGCTGTGGATTAGCGAGATTCCTGGCTGTGATCTGTGTATATATTGTTACCCTTTTCATTATTAATAAAATCGTCAGTTTGCCCCAAAGTTTGCTATCATTGTGGTATCAAAGCAACGGCTTACTGTAACCAAGCTTTCAAGAGTGAGTTAATTACAGCAACTAAGTGTTTATATCTTGGTTTGGGAAACACGAGAGGTATCTTGTGAGGTGATTATCAGGGGTGAGTGAAACATATAAGAATCTGTGTGAGTATTGAGATTTGAGTGAAACAGCAAGATGAGTGAGAATTCTGGGTTTGCTCAGGTATGCATACCTCGATTTGATGGAGACTATGACCACTGGAGTCTAGTCATGGAGAACTTGCTGAGGTCCAAAGAATTCTGGGAGGTTGTTTCTACAGGAGTACCAGAGCATTCTGCAGATACAAGACTGTCAGCTGAGCAAAGCAAGGAGCTTCATGATTTACAGCTTAAGGATCTCAAGGCAAAGAACTGTCTATTTAGTTCTATTGACAAGACAATCCTTAAGACTATAACTCAGAAGGCTACTGCTAAAGAGCTTTGGGATTCCATGAAAATGAAATTCCAAGGCAGTGCAAGGGTGAAGAGGGCTCAACTACAGACCTTAAGGAGAAGCTTTGAAGTTCTGGAAAGGAAGACTGGAGAAGGTGTGAATGATTACATTGGTAGAGTCATGGTGGTGGCCAATGGAATGAGGAACTGTGGAGAAGAAGTGACAGATGTCAAGATTGTAGAGAAAATTCTGAGAACATTAACTGAAAGGTTCAACTACATTGTCTATTCAATTGAAGAATCAAAAGACATAGACACCCTTTCAGTCGATGCTCTTCAGAGTTCTCTGTTAGTTCATGAGCAGAAGTTCATGAAGAAGGAAGAGTCAGAAGATCAAGCTCTGAAGGTCAGTCATGAGTTTGGAGGAAGAGGTGGAAGAGGCTTTCCAGGTAGGGGAGGCTTTCGAGGAAGAGGAAGAGGAAGAGGCAGAGGAGGTAGATCCTGGAACAAAGATACAGTGGAGTGCTTCTACTGTCACAGGCTGGGACATTTCAAGTATGAATGTCCTGAGCTCTATGGACAGCAGGCACACTTCACCAATGCTGCAGGTCAGGGAACTCAACATCCTGACATGAAGGAAGAGATGCTCCTAATGGCCTACACAGAAGAAGGAGCACAACAGGAGACAGTTGAGAAGGAACTGGAGGCACAAGTAGGGCTGATGGAGGCACCTGACCATGCTTATGAAGGCTGGTGGTTCCTGGATTCAGGCTGCAGCAACCATATGACAGGAGATAAAAGGTGGTTTACAAACCTTGATACTTCCTTTACTTGCACAGTAAAACTTGGCAACAATACTAGGCTTGTTGTAAAAGGGAAGGGGAGTGTCAGGTTGAATATGGAGAGCCTGTCTCTACTGGTTCAGGATGTGTTTTATGTGCCAGGGCTGAAGTCTAATCTGATCAGTATAGGACAGCTACAAGAAAAGAAGCTGGCTTTTCTAATTCAAGACAGTGTTTGCAAGATTTTTCATGCAGAAAGGGGACTGGTATTGCAGACAAACATGAAAACCAACAGGCTGTTTGTTCTACACTGCCATATGGATCAGGTTGAAGGAAATCAATGTCTCAAAGTAACTGCTGCTGCTGAGGAAGCTCTAAACCTCTGGCATAGAAGGTTTGGTCATCTGAATCATCAAGGTTTACTGGGGTTGCACAGAGGAGGAGCTGTGAAAGGTTTGCCTATGCTGGCTGGCAAACCAAGTGTTTGCTCTACTTGTCTGATAGGCAAACAGCATAGAGCATCATTTCCAAAGAAAAGCAACTGGCATGCTACACAAAAACTGCAGCTCATTCATGCTGATCTCTGTGGCCCCATCACTCCTGTTTCAAGCAGTGGAAAGAGGTATATCTTTACTCTAATTGATGATTTCAGCAGGAAATTATGGGTTCATTTCATAGCAGCAAAGTCAGAAAGCTTTGAGATATTCAAAATCTTCAAAGCTCATGTTGAAAAGGAAGGAGACACAACCATCAAGTGTCTTAGAACAGACAGAGGTGGGGAGTTCATGTCAAATGAATTCAAAGCATTCTGTGATGAGAAGGGGATTAGAGGACAACTCACTGCAGCACTGACTCCTCAGCAGAATGGAGTGGCAGAGAGGAAGAATAGGACCATTCTCAACATGGTTCGATGTATGCTGGAAGACACTAAGGTCCCTGCAAGATTCTGGCCTGAGGTAGTTAGCTGGACTACTCATATTCTTAACAGAAGTCATGCAGCTACTAACAAGGGAAAAGCCCCACAAGAATTATGGTATGGAACTCCACCCTCAGTAGAACATTTTAAGATCTTTGGATGTGCTGCATATGTTCATACTCCTGATCAATATAGAAAGAAGCTTGATGATAAGAGCAATAGGTGCATTTTCTTTGGAGTTTCTATTGAGTCGAAAGCATACAGGTTATATAATCCTGTCACTAGAAAGATCATTGTTAGTAGGGATGTGGTGTTTGATGAACAGCAGGCTGGTTGGATTTGGAATGCTGAGATCACTCCAGTACTCACTCGAATTCAGTGGGAAGGGAGTGAGGAGGAACTGGAAGAATCAGATCATGAAGAAGAACCAGAAGTTGTTGGTTCAGAAGATTCAGAACCACCAAGTCCAATTGCAACTAGTACAGGTGCAAATGAGGCTTCAGGTTCATCATCAGCCAGTTCACACTCCAGCTCATCTTCTACTAATGGAGAAGAGGGGCCAGCTGATGCTTTGGGGCTACCTCCTAGAGTCTCAAAGCTTCCAGCTTATTATGATGACTATGAGATGGGGTGTGTGCAACTTGACTGGGAAGCCTTAATGGTCCTGACTGATGATCCAAAGAGCTTTGAAGAAGCTATGAAGGATGAAAGATGGAGGGAGGAAATGAAGCATGAAATACAGTCCATAGTGAAGAATGGAACATGGGTGCTGGTAACTCTACCTCCAGGCATCACTCCAATAGGAGTCAAATGGGTGTTCAGGACAAAACTGAATGAACATGGTGAGGTAGATAAATTCAAAGCCAGGCTGGTGGCTAAGGGGTATGCACAACAGTATGGCATAGACTACACAGAAGTCTTTACTCCAGTTGCAAGGTGGGATACCATAAGGACCTTCTTGGCTCTATCTGCTGCTCATGACTTAACAGACTATCAGTTAGATGTCAAGAGTGCATTCCTACATGGTGATCTAGCAGAGGATGTGTATGTGACTCAACCTGAGGGATTTCTGGTTCCAGGGGAGGAAGAAAAGGTGTACAAGTTAAATAAAGCCCTCTATGGCCTCAAGCAGGCTCCAAGGGCATGGTACAGTCGCATAGAAGCCTACTTTGAGAAGTCTGATTTCCAGAGATGCACCTATGAGCACACACTGTTCATCAAAAGGGAAGGGTCGGGTCTGTTGCTGGTGAGCTTATATGTTGATGATGTTATGTATGCTAGCAATTCTGATTCTATGATTGCTTAATTCAAAGCCTCGATGCAACATGAATTTGAGATGTCTGACTTGGGAAAAATGAGATACTTTGTTGGTGTTGAGATTCAACAGCTAGCAGAAGGAATTTTTGTGTCTCAACAGAAATATGCCAAGGAAGTTCTGCAAAGGTTCAAGCTGCTGAAATGTAATCCAGTCAAGAATCCTATGACACCTGGAACCAAGCTGACTAAAGAAGGGGATGGTGTTCCAGTCAATGCAACTCACTACAAGCAGCTTATTGGGAGTCTTCTGTACATGACAGCTACAAGGCCTAACATAATGTTTAGTGTGTGTCTCTTCAGCAGGTATATGGAGTCTCCAACAAGACAGCATATGCTTGCAGCTAAGAGGATCCTAAGATATCTTAAAGGAACTCTAAGCTATGGAATCTGGTATGAGAAAGGAGGTGAAGGAAGCTGTCTAGTAGGATACACTGACAGTGATTATGCAGGTGACTTAAATGACAGGAAAAGCACAAGTGGATATGTTTTCTTCCTAGCAGGAGGAGCAGTGTCTTGGGCTTCAAAGAAACAGCCTGTGGTCACTATGTCTACAACAGAGGCTGAGTTTGTGGCTGCTGCTGGATGTGCTGCACAATGTGTTTGGTTAAGAAGAATTTTGGATCAAATGGGCTGGAAAAAGAGTGTCAACCAACCAACCAGGATCTTCGGTG